GCTTCCTTCTTTTCTTGTTACACTGCCCGTTTCACGAAAAACATTAACACAACGCTGAACTGCACTTTGAAAAATTTTGTACTCAACAACGTCGGGAAATTGATTTTGAAATTCTATGAAACATTCCTCAATAGAATACTTCCATATTCCATCAATCTTGCGTCCATTTCTAAAGTAGGACTCTATTATAAGCACTTTTTGTTCTTGAGAAAACACCATTTTAAACGCTTTTTAAAACGAAAATCAGAGAACATTATACCAACGAGAAGCGACAGAATCGGCGGTTCCTTTGGTGTTTTGTGGTCACGCTAGAGTCGACCGATTTGACAGAAACACAATCGTTTACACTGAGAGAAGTTACACTTTTGAATAGATGTACACTGAACGAACTGCATCAGTATCAAACATTATTCATATAATACAAGGATAACTGTGGTAAAATGTAGACCAATTATATATAACATATGTATAAAAAAATAAAACAAGATGTTTTACAACTAATATTTTTATTAAACAGATATAATATTTTTCTGCAATATTTGAAATAGGTACCTGACATTGCAATAACTTCTTTGGGACAATCTTCCACAATTTTTGCCTCTAGCTCTTCTTGCCCATTTCTAAGTTGAGGAAACTGTATAGGTATTCCGTTTGGCAATAAGGTTATTCTTACATTCCCTTTACCAATATATTTGGTTTCGAAATGGTGTTCACAAAGCCTATAATTCTTATATACATCCACAATCCTAGGCAATAAATCGAGTCTATTGCAAGTTTCTATCCACACTCCAGCACTGCAAACAAAAATAAAAATTCTCCTAAAGATATTCTCTATACTTATGCAATACCATATTACAAGAAAACGTACCACATTATTTTAAAAATCAAAATACTTTTTTCTGATTTACAGTTTATAGCTAGGTACTTAAAATAATAATAATAATAATTACCTTTCTAATCCTTACGTAATCTCAAAAGTTTTGATCCTTCACCAGTTTTGGATGAACAATCGCGAAAAGCACAATAATAACCATGCATTTTATTGATTTCAAGTTGGTTCTAATTGTAGATGGAAACGAAATACAATACAAATAAATCCACTATCAATTAATATTATACAACACAACTATCCGCCGCCAAAAAACTATTACTCGTTTCTTCTATTTATATTTGGCGGTTCTGACAGCCATTGACAACTGACAACAACACAACCCAATTCGCGCATGCGCATAAGAAAACTGTTAACGCAAAAAGCCTTGCTGTCGCTTCTCGTTGATATAGTGTTCTCTGACGAAAATATTCAAATTGATAGCGGCGATATAGCGCTTTGACAGATGACGTTTAAGTTCATTTGCTATACGCTACGCCCTACGTCCAAATTTTCCGAACAAACTTGACCACGTTTTTATTTGAACGCTCGTTACTTAGGATGCCACCAAAAATAGATAATTGTTGCGTCTCGAAGTTTTCAAGACGTGTATTTCGAAGATCCTCGAAATTTTCGACGTACTTCGAAGTATTTCCTCGGGTTTTTCAAAGTACTTCGACATATTTCGTCAAATTTAGAAGTATTCCCCAAATTATGTATTTCGAAATACTTCGAAGATTCCGAAATACTTCAAAGTATTTCCAGATATTTTTCGATGTATTCCAATGTAATTCCAGGTTTTTTTATGTACAACAATAAGTATTACGAGACATTTGGGGTACTTTGAAGTTTTCAAGATGTGTATTTCGAAGGAAGTTTTCGAAGCAGTTCGAAGTATTTTTAGATTTTAGATTCGGTGTATTTTGAAATACTTTGAGGTTATAATATGTGTCAGAACGGTACCGCTGTTGTATCACTACAATTCTGAGTGGAAAGGTGACATTTTTGAAATTTATTTGCTTCTTTGATTCGTTGGTAGAACTGATTCATGCGTCAAAAAACCTGACAAAGTCTGTGGCAGTGTAAAACCACACTGTTTACCAATAAATTCGTGAATTAATTCATGAAGAACTTCGTCAATTTATTCATAAATAAATTGTCAATGTAAAACAGCTATTAGAAAAATGTGTTCAATTTGGGGGCGGCGTCTTTGAAATTTAATGTCTTCATCATATTGCTTTGTTTACTTTTTTTAGTTTAATTGTTGTAATTATGTTCGTATTATTTAAAAATTACACTTGAATAAGATTTTTAATAATTAATAATTTTTAGTTTTGAATAAATATTTTAGTTTTTTACTTTGTTCCCTGTATAAAAAATTACATTTTTGATAACGTGACTCTTACTCATTTTTCAGGCAAAAACTTTTATCAAGAATTTTAATTATACTCGCTACGCATTCAGAGCTTTTACAACAGATTTTGTTAAAATTGAAATCGATTGTTAAGGCTTCAAAATTTAAAAATAAGAAAAACTAAATACTATTACTAGACGAGTCTACCCGTTTCAAAAATTTAGAAACTGGTTTGCTAATTTTTGTGCTAACTTAACTAGGGGTAGGGATAAAGAAGGGTAAAAATTTGGTAAAGATATATTTTATTTTATAACAAATTTCGATTATCTCATTGCACAAACCACTCAACTACAACTAGAAAGATAAAAAAATGACTAAAATAGGACTAAAAATGCTATATAAGACTCAACAGGGGTTTGAAGAGTTTGGCCCACAACAAATAAAGGAATCCTAGGGTAAAGAGAAGTTTCGTGACCAAGTCCACCAGCCACATCCTAAAAGAAAGAAAAGGTTTTAATGTCGATTATTTTGCCCTCGTCGTGGCACTCAACGAAAATAATGCCCCAGTACATAAAAATTTCCCAATTTTTTTAGTGATATAACTTCGTGGTCGTATCGAGAAAAAAAAGAAGCACCTTAAAGCTTGAAGATTCTAGTTTTGAGATCTTGGAATGAAACATTTTTTTAGCAGCACTCTCGGCACAATCAAAAGAATTTTACATTTTTTTTATTTTCAAAACTTCTTAGAGAATTTTTTTCTGGTTTAATCAATGCCAGGATCATTTATCCTGATTCCTCAGCTTCAATTTTGTTTTTTTTTATTTTCTGTACAATTATTTCTCATTAAGATATCGGCTATTTTTCAAAATTTTTTGCATTATTTTTCTCACAATTTCACAATGATACTTTTCAAAATTCAAAAAAAAATTGTTAATAACATTTAAGATTATTTTTTAATGAAAAAAATTTATACACGCAAAAAAAATTTCTTGCCTCAAATGTACATTTGATTTAAGGTATAGCATACATAAGAAAATATTTTCTCCTTTCAAGAAAATTATTTATTTATTTAAATACTTTAAATTTCTACCCAGAAATATAATTTCTTACTATAAAAATAGGCAGCATTTAAAATAAATATTTGATACTTGCGATTAAACTAATTATATTCTTAATTTTATGATCTACATAGATTTTATAGAAACATGTCTTGATTGTTTTGTATTGTATATTAATGTATCGTTTGTTTAATATAAAATTGAATAGTTTTGGTAAAATGATTGTATATATGTACTTATTTTGAGAATATAACGAGCGTTCAAATAAAAACGTGGTCGAAGTTGGCTCTGACACATTGGACGTAGGGAGTAGCTTATAGCGAGCAACTTAACCTCATTTCTCAACGAGCTGTATAGCAGCTGTCAGTTTCAATAACGTTAATGACTATATAACTTTATTTTAAAGAATAATCGTGATAACAATAACAAACAATTAAAGGAGCT